ACCAATGTTGAAGCATTCAACATATTAAAACATAAAACAACAATGTCTAATTATAACAATTTGTATCTGGGCACAAAAAAATCTCGGGTCCATAACACTTTAGTGTCACAAAAAGTAAGCCATTTAGAAAAAAAATATAACTATTTTGAATGTGGTAGAGACTAATTCTTTACAAAAAAGTGCGGATTTTTTCAAAATATAACCATTTTTTTCTAACCTCAATTTTTTTATTTTTTGGAACATGAGTGAATTGTACGCCTAGTTCAGGTACGAGTTTTGTAAAAAATTTGTCAACACCCAAAAATAACTAGTTTCTATAGTAAATTTTCGCAAAAAAATATAGAAAACCAGCATTTTTCGAGAAAAATATAATGAAAAATTTAAGTGATCTAAAACCATATATTTTGTTTGGAAAATGCAGTATGTTTACCTATAGAGAAACAACTTAAAAAAATTGTTTATATTTGTTTTACTTGAAATATCAAAATAATTAAAAAAAATTACGTAACCGAACCCATGTAAATAATGAATTAAATGTCGCCTGAAATGAAAATATAATTTTTAAAAAAATTCGCTTCCCGGCCAACTGACACAGATCAAAGAATATACATTCTTGCTTCTCAGCTTAATATCACTACTTCTACCAAACAAACCTAAGTTGATTGCAGTAAACACAACATAAAATTTAGGAATATTTATTGATTTAAAATACATATTTTTCTGCAATATGCTCACAAATATTGGTAAATATATCTTTAGTAACTGTGCTGTATATTTCGTACCACATAAATAGTCTTTAATAAATAATCAATAAAACACTTAAAACCTATGTAAAATATAAAAAATGAATAAAATTGCGAAAAATAAAATCAAATTCTTGACAAACGCACAAAAGAGCATCCGCGAATCGAAATTACTACGCTTCTATCAAGTAATAGTGAATAAGCTGTGGTAATAGGTAGTTTTCAACATCCGCAATAAAAAATAGTTCCAACTTGAAAAGGCCATATTTTTGAATTTTGACTATAATCCGCAATTTTTTTTCCAAAAATCTAGACATACTTATCTGTAGTTTTATTTAACACATATGTCAAATCTGTAATTTTGTGACACTAAAGTGATATGTCACCAAAATCTCAAAACCAACTCTGACGCCCGATTGGATTTCTCGAGGCCCTTGCGCAATCCGCGTCACAAGTCATGTGAACACCTCGGCTGCTCTACGGTAAAAGAAAGTATCTGCTTCAGATAAAATTTGCATGGAGGATATTTCTATAATTTTTGCTGTTGATGTAATTGATGACTAATACAACTTTTTATAAGGATTTTAAAACTGCTATCATATTGTAGAAATTTCTTGTGGAAATTTGTTTTGAGGCAGTTACTCTGCAGTTACTTTTTTAGAACTATTTCAAAATATATTATTGTTCTAAGGAAAAACAAAATATAGTGCTATACGTTGTTTTTCATTATAATTTACATGATAAACCGTCCCATGTGTGCTAGGAAGAAAGCGAGTACAGTCAATGTCAAAATATCAATTTCAACAAAATTGTTGGTTGCTTTGTTTTACCGTAGAGCAGCCGACTTACTTTAAACACTATTGGGCAGACGTGTCAAGAAGGCGACGCTTCTTATCCCATTTTTTTAATCGCTTACAAGCTTCAAATTTGATCTCACTCTCAGCAGCAAAGGACATGCCTCGACGCTGTTAACACAATGTGGTTTTTCACCGAGGCGTCATGCCGCCATATTACATTTACCAAATAAATTTCTAAAAAACGCCGAAATGTTGGCATACATGTGATTAATTTTCTACAGTAGAGTGCAGTATTAATATGTAAATAGTGTATATTTCATTTTGGTATATAACAGTTCGAAGAATTTCGATTAAATGGTGTTAATTGTGGCCGGCTTTTTATTTCTATAACGAGAAAAAAACCAGCACCTTTCATGTAAGCAGTCTTGGGAATATAAAGTTAAATGTACATTTAACTTGTACAAGGAAACACCAAAACCTCCGCATTCAACAAATCAATATCACCAAAACATACCATATCAAACACTGAACATTCGGACAAAAGTAGGTATTAAGGGTATACATACAAGGAATATCTCAAAGGTTCACTAGATTCTAAAACACTAAACGATTACACGAAATAATATACTAAATCACAAAGGTTCACTAGAAGTTAAAATGGTGAACGATTGTACACAAGTAGTTAAAAAGTATATTTATATAAAGTATATTTCAAAAGTTCAAAGGTAACAAATGAACATGTTATATATCTTTGGCGAGCCATTAGCACATCTATATGATTTCTTTTTGCATTTTTATATTTGTGACTTAGAAAAAGGTATTCAGCTCGTGAAAGTTCATCAACAATGTTGCATTCGTGATCAGCGTCAAGCGTTGGGTCAAAATAAATATGGTCACCCTATATTACCTAAAAGTTAGTTTTGTAAATCCCTTTTATAATCATTTGGTATAAAATGTAGGCAGTCATTGTTAAATATATCTTCTTGTTTACAATGATTTATCCGCCATCCTTTTTTTATTTTAGTTGGATTCCTTATCGGGAGTGCCTGATGGTTCTTATTTATGCTGTGGTAATACTTTATGAACTCAGATAAGCTAAATGGAATTTTCTTCGAATGTACATATTCAATCATCAAAACTTTGATCATTTTGCTGTATTGAGATAATCTGATCTTTGCAAAGAAAAATTCATACCACGCATATAAAATATGTAGTTATAAATGCAATTAAATGGAAGCAGCACTTATTAAACTTTCTGCCACTCGTAATGAGTCGTTCTCATTGTCCTCATCCTCATATAACATTTCCATCGTATGTATCAATAAAAGTAGCATGACAGTATTTATTATTGCCACCTCTAATGTTTAATCAGTTATAACATGTATTTAGATAAAAATAAAATGATTATGAAATACAAACTCTAGCTTGAATTATACTTTCAATAGTTGTAGTTTTAGCTAAATCATTTACAGAAAATGTTTGATGCTAAAATGCCAAACAAAAATGGGTTATAAAGGACTGATTATAAATTTCTCTAGTTCCGAAGTTTTTCATACAAGCCAACTTGACAACGCTGCTTCTAATGATAAAAAAATGCCGTCACAGCACATAACCTCGCAAAAATAAAAAATTATCAATTTACGAATAATCATTTAATTCCTGCTAAACTGAAACTTGGGATAGATTTAATTAGGACCTTTTCAGATCTGTTTGGGCTAAGAAGAGAACATCTCTGAATCAGATATTTTGTTTTCTGAAAAAAAAAACTAGGTATTCCTCAAAAATTTCACGAATTCAATTGAAGAATTAAAACAAGGAAGAGAACAAAGTAAGTCATTTCAAATACGTACATACATTTTTTCGATAACTGCATGACGAATTATACTTTTTTCTTAACTATGTGTTTAAGGATAGCTATTTTATCAGAGATCCCGTTAAGAACGTACTCATACCAAATACAAGGAAGTAAAAAAATATAAACAAAAATATTAAAATCTGCATACCTATATTAACATGGGTGCTGAAAATTTATAAAAATAATCCACTATTTTATCTGTATAGGGGTTAATGCAAATCTCGCTCTGACTTGTTAAGACATTACCATTTTTTTCTTCACTCTTCAGGTATCCCTCTGCTACCCCTGATAATTCGAGCCTGCCTTTTTTCTCAAGGGGTTATTGGACCACCATTTGGACTCCCTAATCCTTCCCATTCATTCCCTTACACCCAAAGTAGAAGATGGCGGCTATGATGCTGCTGTAGATTAGCGTCGCTTTTTTCTTACTTCTCTTGAGAATAAAACATTGACGTGATTAGTAAATAAATCACGATTTACTGATCACACTATATAGGTATATATGTATTTGCAATGAAAGACAACTTTTGTTTATCGTTTGATTTGCGATTGTAAAAAGAAAGTGAATTGGCCAATAATCGTACGAGTGAGAGATCGTTACGGGTGTCTGTCTAAAGATGAAGAAAGATTGACATGTTGCCCATTGAACTGTTAGAAACTTAGAAGACGAACTTGGATTGATTGTCCCAGAGCCTGGTTTGTCCTTTACAATTTCACGGTTATGTGCATTTAAAAATTGAAATATTTACTAGCAATGAATTCATGTATACAGGATTGTACGTATTAATTTATTTTATGTTCATATTAAAAAACTGCTAAAAAATATTAATTATGGATTCGTTTTTTAATAATCTGGAAGATCGGTTGTCTCCGTATAGATATGACCTATGCCATTATTATACTTACAAAGACATAACTATGAATTAGCTGAGGTGTATACCACTAAGGTCAAATGGTGCATGTAATTCGGAAATCACCTAAAATTCGTATGATTTCGGCGATTTCGCCGAAATCCACCTTAATTTTACACGATTTCGGCGAAATCTTCCTTAATTTTATATCTTTTTTTTGTCACAAGCTTCTGCGTTTATAGTTCTTAGCAACAAATTGATTTCGAAGTGATTACGGTGATGATTTCGACCATGATTTTCGTAATGATTTCGGAAATTTCGAGAGAATTTATAGTGATTTCGAGTGAAAACTTACCTTTATTTCGGGAGTGGTTTCAAACAAATTGTCCTTGATTTTTTAAAGGTTAAAATGTTCTTTTTACTGCATATGTCCCTAAAAAGAACCTGATTTATAAAAATATATAAGCTGAGGACCTTTTTTTTTTGTTTTTAGGAGCTCGCCAAAAATCCTCGGTCCGTTAGTCCTTTATTCACTTTTGAAAAAGGTGGCAACCCTATATATGAGTCACATTCGTGACGACTACATGCGTCTCTGAATTAAATTCAAATTGTCATTTAAAGAATAAAAATTGGCACATTAGAACATTTTGTGGCTAATTAAAAAATATATGTATATTGTTTTATGAATGAAGAAATTAATATTTTTATCATAGAGGCGCTACACTTTTTCTACGACGCTATACTTTTTCTACTGCTCCACTTTTGCTATATAGTATAATTATGTATTAAAAGAAACTTGTAAATTTAAAATAAATATAAAACCAAAATTACAAAACTATTGTTTATTATATCTAAAATCTTTAGCATCTCTAAAGTCAAGTAAACATAAATAATCACAATAATTCATGAATATCATAATATCAGACAGTTTAAAACATTAATCAACAAATAATTAGTCTAAAAAGTAAGTTTCCTATTAGGATTTAGTTTTATCTTGAATCCAATCTAAATATTTTGCAACATCAGTAAATATTACGTAATAAGCAGGATCACATGTATTATCAGGTTTGGGTACTGTATTTGAAACTATACCTCTTATTTCCCATACGGTATTCGGTCCACTTGTTCCTGGTTTCGGAAAAACTAAACCACCTCCAGAGTCTCCGTTGCAAACAGATGTACCTAACAAAAAAAAATTAACACATGTATTTGCGGTGCCCAGACAGCACAAATATGTCCATTGGACACGTCCATTCGATATACATTTTTGGATGTCGGGACATTTTTTACCATTCAGAGGACGTCCCTCTCTGGATTATATTCAGACACTGTATATTCACTTGATGGACGTTAAACAATAACCAAGGGATGTCCACTGAACTTTTTTGATAGGATTCTGGACATTCTGGACATATTTGTACATTGTTTGTTCACGTAATGAACGTTAAACGATGATCATTGAATTACTTGAGGAGAATAAAATGGCGGGCATCGACATCGCCCAAGTGAATATCCATCGCGCCAAGGGAGCCTCGGCTGTGATCTCCAGGACATTCACTAAAGATCAATTAGGGATCGTACTGATTCAGGAACCGTGGGTCTATGGAAACCAGGTAAGAGGACTTGCATGTAAGGATGCAAGGGTAACACAGGTCCACAAAAATATAAAATCAATAATGGATCTTATCGGTTTTATTAATTTTTCTCCGTTTTTTGCAGTTTGACCCCCAATTTTGACTTCAGATTCGTGTTCAGCGGTAAAAAATACGTCGGAAAATCTTTGTCGAACACCCAGCACAGACCACTTTTTTTTTGTGGACCTGTGTAATTTATCACACTAGTGATGAAGTACCCAGAGCATGCATAATGGTAAGAAGTAATATTAAATATTCTTGTCTTTCAGAATTCATGACGCGTGATCTCGTTCCAATTCGAGCATACCTGGAATTAGGGATGAGGCGGCAAGACATAGTAATAGCTTCTAGTTACTTCGCCGGAGATGGGCATGTACCACGCCCGGAAGTATCGAGGCTAGTGGAGTACTGCCAGAGAAGACATCTGCCATTACTTCTTGGATGCGACGCCAACGCGCACAGCACTGTATGGGGAAGCAACGACACTAATCAAAGAGGTTAGCAACTTTTAGAATATATTTTTAATAAGAACCTTATTGTGCAAAATATTGGGAATACTCCAACATTTGTAACAAGGGCAAGAAGTGAGGTATTAGACATCACATTAAGCACTCCGAGCATTAAAGATCTAGTCAAAAACTGAAGGGTATCGAGTGAACCATCTCTATTTGATCACAAGATAATTGTGTTTACGTTAGAGAGCGACATTTCTGAGACGATCCTCAGGAGGAATCCTAGAAACACAGACTGGGACAAATACAACACCATTCTAAAACAAAATTTAGCACGTATCTAGACAAAAAAAGGGGCCGGGGCACCCACTTGCTCTGGAAAGCGATCTTGAAGAACTAAATGGGGCAATACTTGAGGCATATGAATCAAGCTGCCCCATTCAAAGAAATAGAACTAGTAGGGATGCTCCTTGGTGGAACCGTCATCTGTCAAACTTACGATCCGAAGTGCGGAAGCTCTATTATAGGGCCAAGCACAGCGGAGATTGGCAGAGCTACACCGAGGCGCTTACTACCTACAACAAAGAAATCGAGAAAGCTAAACGTAACAGAAATAAGTACAGTTTTGTGAAAAACTTCAAAACCACAGAGCTGGGCTGCAAGAAAGAATGGAGCCAAGAATCCATTACGCTTGCAACTGAAAGACGTGCTGTTCAGTGGTATACGGACGGTTCCAAAAACATAGAAGGAACTGGAATAGGAGTGTATGGGCCGAGAACCAAGCACTCCGAAAGCTTGGGAAAATATCCATGCATCTTCCAAGCGGAAATTCACGCCATCGAGAAGTGTATCCAGTTTAACATCGAGAGAAACTATCATAGACAAGAGATTATCATCATATCCGATAGTCAAGCAGCCATCAAAGCCCTGAGCTCTTACGTAATCAGCTCCGATAATTGGAACAATCTCTTGGGGCTGAGACAGGCCAAGATACTTCTGGGTGAATATAACCAGAAAAGATCGGAAGTCTGCATCTGCCTGAGCAAGAACAGGCTACGTATTGTAACAGGGATCCTTACCGGGTATTGCCGACTAAAAGGACACCTAAGTAAACTGAGAGTAGTAGAGGATAGTGAGTGCAGATTCTGTGAGGAGGAGGACGAAATCTCCATTCACATCCTAACTGAATGGGTAGCACTTCAAAATCCAAGGGCATTATATCTAGGAGGATATCAAATAGAAGAGGGATATTTACCTAACTTGAAGCCACTTCAAATCCAACACTTTCTTGAGAAAATAGGATTGGAAGGGTCGCTAAAGGCATTCAGACATTTCCTTAGTGCAGTGGCGACAGAAGGGGGCACAATAGATCTTTTAGGTCGCAGTGTATTAACACTCCATTCTCAACATAACTTAACATACTTGAGACCACCAATCATCTACTTTTTTTTTGTCTCTAGAACATTACGTCAAGCGGAGTGGCTCAATGATCTTCAATACACAACCGCAACTAACCACACACTATTCTAGATTATTTTTTATAATTCATTTATTAATTTCGCAACCCATCATCATATACCATTATTGTGTTTAAAATTAAAAACCCTTGGCCTGACCGGGATTTAAACTCACGAGCGTCGGTTGGCGTTCGGCGCCTTCAACCGCTCTACCCGCTTGATCACGGAAAAATTTAACAATTTGTTACTAGATAGATATGATTCTGATATTTAAGATTTCAAACTTTCGGTGGTAGAATGAAATGCAATAGATTCAATTTGTAATAACCAATTACATTTTGGAAAGAAAAGAAAGTGTTAAGTATTATTTGGAAAGTTAAATAAATAATGACCTAAGATGGACGTCAACATATTACTAATGTCGCTTTTTGAAAGTACCTCGTTTTGCTCTTTTTGCTCGAAGCCGTTCTTTTAATACATCTGTAGCTTCTCGATGGGATCTGCTCCGTTGTCTTTTAATGCAGAGCTGGTAAGTCGAGTAAGATCTATTTACTACGAATTAAATTTTAGAGCTTTCGGAGTAAATGTAATTTCTGTGATAATTGACAAAGAAAAAAGCAATTGAAGTTGAAGTCGAAGTTGTCGATTGTAGATGTACAGACATACGTTCGTTTTCTTCTGTGTCGTAGTTTATTCTTTTTTTATATTATTTACGTATCCTGGTTATTAAGAGCAAAAAATATTTATATAAATTATCATACAGTAATGAAAACATGGTTTATTTTCTAGTGAAAGCAAAAATCGAAAAATACCACAGCTAAAAATTAACTTTACTTTGCAACTCGCAACAAAAACCACTAGACAAGAGATCCAATTTGATTTAAAAGAAAGGTTTAAGTTTGTTATTTTATTGGAAACCGAAAACGAGAAACACAAATCCATAGTCGTTCTTTTATTTCACATAAGCTCGATTTACTCCACTTCAGGGGGTCGATTTTCGACTCGTAGGAATTTTTTCCTATAGGAATTTTTGACATTTTTCTATGCATCGGAAATTTATCACATTTTCCTACTTATAGGAAAGTGTCACAAATTCCTATAGGAAAAGGTTCCTACAAGTCGAGAATCGGCCCCCAGGAGGTACTTTTCAAACTTAAAACGGACGTTTACTGGATATCGTTATGCAGATGTCAAATTAATGTTCATAAATGGACGTTCACTGGACTTTCAAATACGGGTATGGACGTCCATTGTACTACGTGTGCTATCTGGATGGTACGCTTTTTCTGTAGTATTTTATGTTCGTTATCTTTTAAAAACCTCACGTTGGGCGCCAGTATACTTTGGTATAAGTACTAAGTTTAATTTTCATGGATATAAAAACATTTAATTCATTAGAAAAACATTATTAGTTCGACGGATTCTGGCACAATTTTATTTCTAGACTATTCGTCGTATTGATCAATTAAATTTGCAATGAAGTTTGCTATATTAATGTCCCCTTTTTCTAATAAAAGAGCTTATATTTCATCTTCTTCAGATGAAGAAGTTATCTATACTGAGTGTAAGTTTTTTTGCAAATTTAATAGGTTCACTTTTTCTACACACGCATATTTGAAACTACACTGGACAAAGTAAGGTAGTTCACTCGTAAAATGTTCTTTTTTTAAGAATTCAATATAATTGATATATAAGGTTAATGAAAGTGTCTTTTACGTAACAAAAAAAAAATGAAATTTTTTGACCGTCTGTGAAACGAAATATTAACAATTAAAATGTGCATAATTAACACTCTTGAAGTCTGTCATGTACACAAGCAATGCATTTATTTCAAGATATCTTGAAAACGGTCCTTACTATATTTTTTAAAAACTAATGTAATATAAATCAAGAGTTTATAAAATTTTCTAAAAAAACGCTGAATTTTTTGACTGTCTTGGTAAAAAGATAGATTTTTAAAATAAAAATATTTTTAAAGCAGTCGACGCGTGTGGGGTACAATGATTACAACTTGGCAACATTGTAATCGCTACACTTAACGCGCGGTAACTGAATTACACTCAATCAGTTAAGAGGTTGTTATAACCTCGCGACGTGTTCTTGAAAACTTAATTCGTCCACTGTATTTGAGTACTGGAATCGACGGTTCTGTTTGAACCGAAACAAACCCTTAAAATTAGTATGAGGAAGTCACAAATTCTATAGATATACACACTCACTTGATTCGCGATTCAAGTTAAGTGTTACGCCCTCTGGAGGAAATTTGTAGAAGGTGCCTATAAGTAGGATATTATTAAATGTTGCCAGGAGTAGCGAAATTTCGCTTCGTCGTCGGATTTTTTGCCTTTGGAGAAATAAGACCTTTTTTTAAGTAGCAAAATTTGTGTCTAGTAATATGTAATCAGACTCTATATATATTTAAGAATTTTTTTATAAAACCGATTTATTTTATTGATTTTTTTTTAAATTTCAGTTCATTTGTCAAATTTGTTTTAAAATCAGTTCATCATTTGGCAACATTGGCGTTCGTATTCACTATTTATATTTTAAATTTTAATTTGTATCAATTATACGAGTAATTCGAAGTTTTTCTTACGTGTGAGCTTTAAATTAGTTTATTTCTTATGGTGTAAAATGAAATTTGCGAAAAAGCCCCCAACAAATGGCAATCTGTATGGTGTTAATGTCAAAATTAAAACTGAAGTGTTCATTATTTTCCAAGCGTAAGTCGTAAAATTTTGTTTCTAATATAAATGGATATCTACAAATTCACATTATTGAGATTGTCCAAAATTTTGTCTAGAATCAAACTGAAATATCTGCATTGTGAGTTTCATTACCGTTTACATGTACACAAAGTACTACACCATTCACTTTATAATGTAAGAGCAAGGATAATAAGATTTTTTTATTAAGTTTTTCAATAGTACGAGGATGGGATGAAAAGTTTCCGGCCTAACCTATAGTAGGCCCGATTTGCTTTCCTGTTCCAACGTGTCTGTGTAGCCTTGCTTGTCGTCAGTATACGCTCGAAGTTTAAAGTGAGTGCGTCAAGTAGTTTGTGTCCTGGGTATTTTAAAAGCTTATAAAGTGCGCCACTTTTAAAAGATGGGAAAAACGAGATAAGAGTGGTGATAAAATATTTCCATATCAAAGGATTATCGCCCCGACGGAAATAAAAGCTGAACTAGATGCTACACTAGGGAAAACTGCTCCTTCATTTACCACAGTTAAAACATGAGTAGCGGACTTTAAACGTGGTCGTACTAGCACTGATGATGCTCCGCGTTCTGGCAGGCAAAAAACGGCAACTTCTGAAGAAATGGTGCAAACCGTTTACAAACTAATTCTAAAAGATCGCAGATTAAAATTGGAAGAGGTAGCTGAGGCTGTGAACATATCAAAAGAGCGAGTTCACTATATTTTGTGTGAAGTTTTAAGTATGAGAAAGCTATCCGCCCGATGGGTGCCGCGTTTGCTCACGTCAGATCAGAAGCTCACGCGGCTAACCATTTCAGAGGTTGGTGAAACATGGGTTTATCATTATACCCTTGAAACTAAACAACAGTCCAAACAGTGGACGGCAAAGGATGAACCAGTTCCAAAGAAGGCAAAGGCAGTACCGTCTGCTGGAAAGATCATGGCAACGGTCTTTTGAAGAGCAATAATTTCCGAGTACTACAGCGACTTACTCGACCAGCTTAAGCAGAATATAAGCGAAACATTCTGTTTCATCAGGACAATGCACCTTGCCACAAGTCCGTTCTTGTAATGGCTAAAATTCATCAGCTAGGCTTTGAACTGTTAAACCATCCTCCGTATTCGCCAGACCTAGCCCCGTCAGACTTTTATTTGTTTCCAAACCTAAGAGAATTTATTGCTGGCAAAAAAATTCCACGGATTTAGAAGTAATTGCAGCCACAAACGCCTATTTTGACGTGTTGGATAAATCAGACTACAGTGGCGGTATTAAATCAAGGGGACTATGTAGAAAAATAAATTCTTATTCAGTCACTATTGTGTTGCGTTCTATGTTAGGCCGGAAACTTTTCATCCCATCCTCGTAAATGTTAGGTACCTGAAATATCCTTTAAACCACATAATAAAAAATCTTCTGCGTTTAGTAAATAAATATTTCTAGATGTTGGTGTAGTAACCAGATAGGTGAATATTTCCTTCAAATTAGTCATAATACATGATAAATATTATATTTATGACGAAAGCACGGAAACTAAACTTAAATTAATATTTAATGAATTTCGAAAACGATAATAAGAATATTATCTAAAAACAGTGAAAAAATCACAAATACAAAATCCCGCCCAAAACAAACAATGTAAACAAACAAACATCCTACTTACAGGTGACAAATGACCTTCGCGCGAAAATTAATTTGAATCGCGAATAGCCCACCATTCATATACTTGCGACGTTGCCGGATGGATTTTACTTGAAAATATAACGTATCCGTATATATAAGCTTACATGTGATGTGTACAATCTCATACAGAAATACCATTGGGCGATATTTTTGTGTACGACTGTCGCGAGTGAACTACCTTAAATGCGATTAGTTTAAAACTCTTACATCTAGTGCAACATATAAAATCCACTATTAGTTATAAAACAAATGACCGTTTTTATTACCATTCCTGTATCCTGCGCAAAAATTGTTTTCATTGAGAAAAAGGGAGTAAAATTGTCGACGGGAATAAATACATTTCAGCTGATTAACAACAGGCATATGCGCTAACTTTAGCAGATCAGTGGATTCATTTTCCTCGTGGTCTCTTCCCCATCCTACAACAGTACCTAAAAACAAACCAAGTTAAATTTCAGCCTTCTTCATTAAAACTTTGGTTAATAGAAGGTAATAATTTAAATGAGAAAATTATTGAAATCTGGTAAAATAATCCTAATTTTAATTAAAATAATTATTTAAAAATAAGCTTTTTACCAACATGATCGACCACAGAGTCTATAGCAATGGATTGGTCCCACAAACATATAGGCCTAACATAGTCGGTATATTTGGACGGTTGATTTAAATGAAGAATTGCAATATCGTTGTAAAAATGCGTGTTGTTAAACCGTTCATGCACGTTAACCTTAGTCAATGTAAATGTCTGCTCTCCATCGGCATCTACCCACAAACCATGCTTTCCTAAAAAAAATTCTAATAAGTTTTCGCAGTGATCAACTATAACCAATTGCTCAGATCTTCTGGAAAAGCATTATAGAAAACTGAAAACTACGTTTTTCTACACACACATGGATATTAGCTTATCTATGCAGAGACAACAAAACGAATATATTTCATATCCATTCTAGGTAGTGAGAACACTGCAAAAAAATGAAATCCAACAATCACAGTTCATATTTTGGATAACCAACTACTATTATTTTTAATATTTTAAATAAGTGACAATCCTGTCAAACTAATTGTCAGTATACTTTTTAGTTATTGAGATTAAATATATGTACATTAAAATGAGTTATTTTTGTGTAGAATCGATAAATAATCTTAAATAATAGCATTTTTATTTGGACCATATTTAAAAAAAATAAATAAATTTTAATCAAACTATATGAAGCTATTTTAATTACGAGTATTAAAACCAAAATTGTAAAAGTTGCCGTAAACGCGTGTACAGAGTTCTTGGCCTTCCATGCGAAAAGCCGGGATCGATTCTCGGCTAGCGACTAATTTTTGTTCATATTTATTTTATTTTAAAAATGAGTAAAATTAATAAATTATTTTAAAATTAGTTATTTTGTCTTAATAACCTAAATTTTTTTTATTTGTAGCTTTTCGTTAGTAGGTCGTACCAAAAAATATACTGTACAATTTGAGTGGATTGTTCATATCCACTCTTGTGGCACAAACCACTATTGTTTATATGTAATAATTAAGTTATCCGAGATGCTGTCAGATGGAAAGCAAGATGTCCGTCTACTTATAGAACGTCAGATAGTGACCGATTTAGGTGCTCCATTTTCGCATACAAGCCTCGAAGAGGGTTGAAAAGTACATCGATGTTGAGTAGAATGAAAGAAAATTTACGAGTGGCTCTTGGGGATATAATACATGGAAAATTCGATTTTCCTTAACAGAAATATTTTCCAACCTCAAAATGCACTTATCCATTCGTGTCATTCAAGCTAATATGTTTTTGGACTAGTGACGATGCACGTGTTCATACAATTATTTAGTGAACACGGCTTGCGTGAAAATATGGGCAACAAATAACTTTAATTTTGTGATGTACTTTCCAACTCTCTTCGAGGCTTGTTGGGACACCTAAACCTGTCACTATCTGACGGTCCATTAGACATAAAAGACATGACAGTTGTCATTATTATCGTTGCTGAGCATACAATTTTAGAATTAGGCATTCCAAACAAATTAATTACCAGTGGGAAGGTTTGATATATCTAAGGGTTGCGACATACATATCTGCAATACGTAAAATCATGAATAATGGATTATATTTAAATATTTTATGTCGAACACAATAAAAATATTATTCAAAAAACCGCTTTTACATTTTTTCATAAATTGGCAGGCTTGGCGACTACTATTTCGAATAAAAATGCGTCGAAGATTCAAGACTATATCGAATATACGATACCTTCCCACTGGCAGCTATTATTTGACAGGTCGTTGGAATGCCTAATGCGCTAGTTCAGTGATGATGTAATTATGGTTCCACTGACAATTAAGGTGACAGTAGATTTTTTGAGTGCGTTTTGTTCGTTTTGTTTACCTAAATTATATCGTTTTTTTTCACTTTTATAAATATATTCCTAAAGTAAGTAGATAGCATGTATCAAATATACAATCGTTTAGTTACTAATTACATACCTTTAAACTATTTTTATGACGTGTAAACAATATTTTGAAATAAATTAAAAACAGTTAAAACGTATATGTCAAATTTATTGATGTTTTTGTTAAAAGTTTGGTTAGAATTAAATGTCAGTGGAACCAAAATGACATCACCACATACTTTGATTTTATTTTACTATACGGAGAATGGTCGCACTGCACAGCTTTCTGAGTGCCTTTTAAAAGGAGATAGAAAATTCCGCCATTTTGAACCCTTATTACGTGTTGCCTACATATTGGCTCAATATTTTTAATAGGTGCGTTTTAATCATCCGCTTCTGCTTCGGAATTGTCGGTTTTCTTGTTTTAATCTGACAGGTTAAAACGACTAAACCGACAATTCTGGAAGCAGAAGCGGATGATTAAAACACACCTGATATTTTGCTTGCTGCTGTCAGTGTCAGTGAATATTATTTTTGAAGTCACAGTTTATTGCTAAAGAATCAGTTAGCTCACTCGGACCAGTTGAAAGTTCCAAAATAACATCCACTCCAGGAATACAAATTCAGGATACGCAGAAGATTGCTGTTTTATTATAGGCGGTTGTCATATATTGTATTATCCGAGTTGCACAGTGTATAAACTGAAACATTGAGATCAAAAGTGCCGACGCAGAGTGAGCGATCTGATTCTTCAGCTGTAAACTGTGTCACAGGGATCAAAATGGCCGCGCCCTATGTTGGGCGTGTCGGACCTCTCTCTTACCTCGTATAGTAATCAAAGTATGTGGACATCACACTGAACTAGCGCATTGAATATACTAACCTAAAACAATCACCAAATCTTTGGGATCTCGAGGCTTTAGTCCAACAACTGAACAATGAGCTGCAGTTAAAACGTGTTGATCAGAAATCAAGGTTCCTCCGCATATGTAAATTCTTGAATTACCCTCTTTTTTGTAAATTGCAGCGTGCCATGGCCACTGTCCTAAAAATATTGCAAACATTACTCAGCTAATTTGTAGATTTTAATAACATGTTAAGGCGCGTCCACATCAATATGTTTTGTGCGTTGTATTTTGAATTCAACAAAAATAATTACGGCGAAATTTTTTTGTTTTGATTACCACATTTTTCGATTAAAAAATTTAGGTTTTGTTTTGTATGTTGAGCCGGGTCCAGATCAATAAATTTGTGTGTTAAATGTTGTATGTTGAATTCAACAAAAATATTTGCTGCGCAAATATTTTTTTTATTATGATTTTTTCGCGCAAATGTGTGCGTTGTGTTGGTGTATCTATTGCGATCCATTTTCGTGTCGTGTGTAGCAATAATTTGTGATTGAAATAATAGTACGAACTAAAAAGTCCACATTAAAACAAGCACTCGAGGGTCGTTCGACGCAAATCTGTTTGAAGTTGGCAGAAAAACCGACAGACCGGTGGATAGCGTGTGTTGTATCTGGCGCAAATATCACATCCAGAAATATTTTGACGAACACGAGCAAATTTGCGTCAAATACAACGCACAACGTAAATATTTATTGATCTGGACCCGGCTTTGTGAATCCATTTTCACTATAGCCAAATTATTGAGTTTTTCACAAACAAACTTGTCATTCAAAAGGAAATTTAGTCTCCTAACTATTAAAGTTTTTAGTAGATTTTCGTCAACATTCTCTGGCGTGTTGTCCAATAAACGTCTTCTTTTAATATTTTTTTCTTATTGTTATGGAGTGACTTCAAAATATATTAGCTACTATTCATATTTATTCTTCAGATTATGATATTTCAAAATTCAGAGATCCACATTCACACAAGCGTTCCACACAAATAGCGTGCGTTGTATCTGCCGCAAATATTTGTGTGCGTCTTTATAGTACAGATCTACGTAAATGTTAACACACACGAACAAATTTGTATTAAATACAACACACAACGTAAAAATTAATTGATGTGGACCCATCTTTAGATGTAATAATTATATTATTATTAAGCTAGAGTACTGCTTATCTCCACTTTTAGTCTTCAAATTTGTTGTCAACAGTCAAAAGAGATGGTATTAGGTAGGTTAATTCCAAACATATAAATAAAAATTCTTCCTGTTTGAATAAATTTTATTATATTTATAATTATTTTTTGTGCAAAAATGTGCATACCTCTTATTGTATTTTCTCCATGGGTAATTAGACCAGTTGTCGTAACAATGGCTGTTCCACAGGTTGGTAAGTTGATTTGAGTTAGTATCGTTGGTCTGAAAATAAAATGATTATTACTAAAATGTTGATTGTTATCATTGGTGAACAAAATCTTTCAAACACTAAATCTGGATTTCCAACTTAAAAGGTTTCCTTCGGAGTTTAACTCCTATCGCAATCAAGTATATATTTAGAAACTTTGAATCACCATCCAAATATATTAGCTCTCCACCAAATAATAGAAGATCTAGATATAAGATCATTCAACTGTATTAACAATCAATCTGCTTTTACTTCCAAATCATCAAATAAAATATCTAGTAGACTAATATGTTTTATCTACAACTGTCATGTAATGACACTGATTTGACACTTTAAATTTTGTAATGACGTATATTACCGCTCTAGTGCGGTAATGATGCGGAATAATTAAATTAATCATTTATTTAACAAAACAGAACAAATATAACATTAATAATGAACTCAATATAAAAAAATTATTTGTTATAGATATTTATAATACAATCCTTACAATCGTACAAATTCATGTCAGATGCAGACATGCTCGATGCCCGATAATTGCAAATATTAGTTTCCATATGTGATGGTATATTTTCTTGGTTTTCTCTATCCTTGCAATCGTACAAATTTATGCCAGATGCAGACATACCCGATGCCTGATAACTGAAAATATTAGTTTCAATATGTTTTGAAGCAGTCGATGGTATATTTTCTTGGTTTTCTCCTGCGCCGCCACCCTACGATAAGTCGTAGAGTGGCGGCTTCGCCGCTACCAAAAAACATTAACCCATACCTGGCTACGCCGACCGGCATAGACTCCAACGGCCTGGACACAGCTCAAATAGAATTGAAAACGTTTTCATTTGTAAAATTTAAAATTTTCTTATCTTTACACCATTTCTCATATTTGTCATAAGTAAAATGATATCTGTCACGTGATTTCTGTGGTACTAAATTTTCTATTACGCCGGTTGCTGCATTTTCAATATCTTGTGGAAGATCATCTTCACTTGAAGACATAATTGATAATATATGTACTTGTAATGGTTATTTGAGCGACATTAAGTCAGAATTTTTACGATTTTAAACGCCACTTTGACAGAAGTTGATTATTAATTCCGTTGCTATGGTTACAAAATACTGACAGGTTACTTGTATTCGCAAATAGTCAATTTTAACGATATGCCGACATAATTTTATTCAATATAATTTCGAATTTTCGGAGTTGTTGTTACATGACAGTTGTAGATAAAATATTTATACAATATTCGTGCCGGTAACACATTATTAATATACTTATATGATTGCCAATTTTCACATGCATATATTAATAATGTTCATACCGCACTTATATCGTAAATATCTATTCTGCAGCAAGTGTAGTGTAGTCACGCTTAAAAACTGCGAGTGAGAAAACTATAGAGAAGGACGTGGAAGTAAATAAGCCAACAGTTCAATTAACAATTGGTTATAGTAGGAAAAAAGGCAGCTAGATGCATTACGGGCAGATGATAGAGTTGTATTTAGTCCAGAATCCGTAAATATGGTCGACCTTCACCCATCTGTGTATTGGATAAAAGTTTCTTTTTATAAGATAAAATATGTTTTTAAATACCGCAAATGGGTTGCCTAAGAAAATACGGTTGCGTCCATGTTTTACTTTCCCATTTGTGTACAGATAAGGAAAGTATAGGAATCATGATAAAAGTTGCTTATGATATCATTCTCTATTATTTTGTCCTTATACATGATTTCCCTAAAGTGGACCTAATTCGAGATATTTGAGGAAAAGTGCATATTTCGAATTTTGAAGATAACTCAAAAACGGATGAAGAGAAAAACACCAAATTTTAAACTTAAGCTTTAATCCATCCTGCGGTGAGATGTTTAAAGTTTGGGCATAGTCGAAGCATCTGAGGAAGACTTTACAGGGTGTCGTTGTTTTATCTTTAAGAAATTAAATAGTCTGGACCGTATTTTCTTAGGCAACCCATTTGCGGTATATTTATAAACATATTTCATTTAATAAAAAGAAACTTTCATCCATTAAACAAATGGGTGAAGATCGACCTTACTTCGGATCTTAGACCAATTGGACTTCTAGTGCCTACCAGGGTAAAACAAGAATTAAAATCTTTAACATCTGCGTTAAATCAGTGCTTCTCTCTGTTAATGAAACATGGAAAATGACCAAAGCGATCAGACAGGTTTCAAAAGTATTTGTAAATAAATTTAAAGATAAATCTGGTGTATATTTTGGCAGAATCCGATTTCTAATGAAGTTGTATGCAGGCAAATAAGAAAAGATTGACTTGATAGTTGACGGAATAGGCATTGAGGTAAGCACTTTACTGAAATCCCCGTGTAATAAGAAAAAGCATCTGGTGGGGAACTGTACTTGAGGAGGCAAATAAAATGAATAAGTTTTTAATGTAAATTAACGAATTGGCATGCAATCGAGTCAGATGGCGCAATTTCATTGCAGGAATAGGGGAAACGTAATTTTTCCTTTTTCCAGAATAGAATATTAAAATACAAGTTGCAGAAGGCCACATATTTCAGCACGAATTCGAAATTTGGCCACGAGCGACGAAAGAGCGAGTGGACGAACGAATGAGTGTGAGAATAGTATTCTGCAACGTGTGTTTTATACTAGTTTCTCGATTATGGGATTTATTTACTGTTTCTTATTTTGTTTATTTTTGTGGTCGTTGTTAGTTGGGATTTTTCGCAAAAAATGTCACTTGATAACACTTAGTTACTAACCAACTGTCAGGTGCAATTAATCAGGCATTCCAAACAAATAAAACGCGATAAGGTTTGGTATATCTAAAGTTGCGACATATGATGTAGTCTATCTACAATCCGTGAAATCATAAATAATGGATTAAATTTAAATCTTTTATGTCGAACACAATAAAATATTATTTTAAAAAAATCGCTTATAAATTGGCAGGCTTGGGACTACTATTTCAAATAAAAATACCGTCCAAGATGGAAGACTATGTTGCAACCATCTTAGATTTACAAGCTCTTCCTACTGGCAGGTATTAGTGAATGTTAACTGAAATGTCACAAAAACGTCACCAAAAATCGTTTAAGAATTTTAACGATTTTGAGTGCGAGAATATGACATTCTTACACCAAAATCGAGAATTTTTTTTTATTATTTACCTATTGATATCATCATAGAGAATTGTCGGTTCCTCTATATAGTTTGGACATATTTCTCTTCCATTCAGTTTGATTCTTACCAATTTTGGTGGAACGATATCGAAGTACGGGTCATATACAGCATAAATTTCTACTTTCAATGGCTTTGTAGGACTTATTTCTTTTTTCGCATTTGTTATTTTAAAATTGATGTTGTCTGAATCAGAAGTTAATGGACCGAAAAAATTCTAGAAAAAAAAAACCTTTAAATACAAGAAGAAATAACTAACATTAGCATGAAATATGTAATATCATATTAAAATACAAGTTGCAGAAGGCCACATATTCCCGCAAGAATTTGAAATTTGGCCACGAGCGACGAAGGAGCGAATGGACGAACGAATGAGTGCGAGAATAGCCTTCTGTAACGTGTGTTTTATACTATTTTCTCGATTTTGGGCTTTATTTACTTTTTTTAATTTTTTGTAATCGTTGTTGGTTGAGGATTTTTTTCGCAAAATATGTCAGTTGGTAACACTTAGTTACTAACCAACTGTCAGGTGGAATTAATCAAACTAATGAAAAGCGATGATAAGGTTTGGTGTGTCTAAAGGGTTGCGACGTACGATGTAGTCTATGTACAATACGTGAAATCATAAATAATGGAATAAATTTAAATATTTTATGTCGAACACGATAAAAATATTATTATAAAAAAATCGCTTATACATTTTCTATAAATTGGCAGGCTTGGACTACTATTTCAAATAAAAATAGCGTCCAAGATGGAAGATTATGTCGCAACCCCCTTAGATTTACGAAGCTTTCCCCACATACTTTGAAAGTATGTGGGCTTTCCCACTGGCAGTTATTAGTAAATGTCAACTGAAATGTCACCAAAAATCGTTTAACACATTGACGAGCGCTAGGTGAAAAAAATGTATCATATGGGGTCACTCTAATTTTTCTATTCGATTCAAAAATTTATATAAAAATAAGGAGTTCATTCATTAACCAGCAAAAACTAACTCATTTTTTTGCAAAAAAACAAAAGGTCTGCTAATGCAGACACGTCCATACGTGTCATATTATATGATATGCGTGGACATGTCTGCTTAAGCAGACAAGACATATTATCAAATTTTTTATTGAAACAAAAAAAATAAAATACATAAGAAAACAAATGGCTAAATTCTCAGCATAAAAAAATAATCATCAAAATAAATTGCACAAAATGGCACAAACGTAAGTGGTAACTTTAAAAACAAATATCTATATCTACCAACACTGTCTAGGTTTTATGATAATTTTCAAAGCACTTTCCGACACAAAGTGGAGGTTTAGATTCGCAACCTTGGCATCTCCATGATGTTTGGCCTCTCTTAGAATTTTTAGAACAGTTTCTGCAACGAAGAAAATAGCTTTTTCTCTTATAACCGTCAGGTACCGGAATCTTCTCCAAAATGTGCTCTAGCTCTATCTGATGGACTGGTGCTGTAGCTCTGGGACAATTCAAGGCACCCTGCTTTACAAACTGCCTTCCATCTTTATTATGGGGAGGTATCAGAAGAAAATCTTTGATAATACTCTCTCTAAAGTCGATCAGCTTTATTTTGGACTGTGTGACTTTGCGGTATAAAATAAAACTGTTTATTAGTGTAACGTCGAGTAAATGAAAAATAACTTTTTTGTACCAACGTACAGATTTTCTCGGACAACTGTAATACGAAGTTAACTGGTCGGATCTGTCCACGCCAGACATGTGCAAATTGTACTCGGCTACTTCTTTTGGCTTTGTTTTCTCTTGCCCGTACGAATTCATTACTTGTATCAACTGTGGGTGATATTTTGTAGTGATACATAGCACTTCTCTTTTATCCTTCCACTTGGACACATACACCTTGCCTTTTCGTAACCATTTGTGCTCACCTTTTTTTAGCTTTTTGGAAGTTATAGCTTTAGGATTATTTGTTCGGTTTGATCTCAGTGTTCCAGTGGAGTGCGTTTTACGGCAAAGTAGTTTATTGGACAAAGATACACTGTTATAGTAATTGTCCATAACAACATGGTGGCCCTTATCTAAAAAAGGTTCCAGAAGGCGAAGTACTAAAGATTCTAATTTGGAATCTCCAGCAGTGGCATTGACCTCAATATCTTTACCTTTGTATATTTCCATGTTATGGTTGTATCCACTGGGAGAACATAGCTCATAAAATTTAATGCCATATTTCGCCTTTTTGCCTTTTATATACTGGCGAAAACTGAGCCGTCCCCTATGCAAAAGCAATGACTCGTCTAATGATAGATGTTCTTCTGGAGAATAGGCTTCCTGAAACCGTTTTATTAGCATTTTTAGTAGTTGGCTTACTTTATTAAGACGATTTCCCTGTTCATTTTCATTAGTGCAGTTAAATGCCCTTAGCAACAATTCAAAACGGCGGCCAGACATAGTATGTGAAAAAATTGGGTGATAGTAGAGTGGGTCGTAGGAAAATATTTTTCTGATAGAAGGAAATCGAATTTGTGCATGCAGCAAACACAAACCCAGAAATTTGTACAACTCTTCTCTATTAGTTTCGGTAAATGACGAGAATCGAGAATTCTTCGGATGGGGTCGATTTAAATTTTGAAGCTCTTTGCCATATTTGTTCGTGCTTTCAACCAACAGGTCCATAATTTCATTTGTCCATAATTCCTTGAACACGTCAATGGGAGAGGGTATGTTAGCAAAGTGCAATTTGATTCCAGAAGATATTTCATCAAAATGAAAATCAGGTATATCTGTTGTATTATCTACCCATTCGTCATCACTATCTTCATCACTAAAACTTACAGCATCGTTATTTATGAAAGGTTCATCCTCGGGTTGGTCCTCGGGTTCGTTTCTAACTAACGGCGGATCATCCATTTCCGAGTGATTAGATTCACTGAGTTCACTTTCCGACGGTTCAAAATCTGGATCTCGGTCGTCATCACCACTAAATGGTTCTGCTTCCGACTCACTATCAGAATTACTTTCTAGTTGGTATTCATCCGAGTCTACCTCATCGTACAGCTTTAGTAAACGGGTTTTTTCCTTTTCATCCATGCTTACCAATAACTAATTGCTAAAAATTCAATTTATATTCTATTTATATTATACAAAATATCATATTTCTCACCAAAAAGCAATTTTCATCAGCCGATTTACAACACGTGGTTCTCACTACACACACTTATCCTTACTATCAACACAAATCATATGGTCACGCCGACTGCAATTGCAGTTGTGTGATTATTAAACCGCCAAATTTATTGCGCAGACGCACTTCGAAAAATTCGCACCAAATTGATGTGTATGGACACTTCTCAGTATTTTTTTTGCATTTACTGGGACAGTTAGAAGACACAAGCACAGGGTATAATGGATTAGGCGTCTGCAATAACAGACGCGTGTGATTTGGGAATGTAAATATTGTCTGCAAATACAGACGCGTCCCTAGATACCTGTCTGTATATGCAGACACGCCCGTCAATGGGTTAAGAATGAGCTTCATTCTTCAACGATTTTACGTGCGAAAATATGAATACATTCCACGAGATATTTATCATTTTTTGAGGAAGGGAGAAAATGAGGAAAAGTGAAATTATGCAGTAATAAATTACTAGTTATTTGAGATGGTAAAATGGTATAGAAAAATGATCTTTAAAATATCAGATGTGAAATTTGAATATGCGATCTCAAAGTCGATAAATAATTGACCAAAATATGTAGAATATAAGGAGTGATCCACAAATTTTTTTTCTAAAGTAGGCCTTGGAAAAACTCACGCATGTCAAACGTGCAATTATTCTTCTTTTTAAGTCAGTTTCGATTTACCTATTTCAGAACCTACTTTAGAAACCTTTTTTGTGGATAATTCAAAGTTTATTTAAAAAAAAATCACATTTTTGTTCGCTGTTCAGAAATTCGTAAAACAAATTTAATGAAATGTGGCAGAAGTACATTTCAGCAAAAGTACTTACTTTTAGTAATCAAAGAAACTCAAAGAAAATAGCAGTAGGGTTAAAACCACCCTCACCCCTACGGTTCTAAGACTTTTTTAACGGAAAAGCTTACTTATTTTTTTACTCTTGTGAAAATTTCTTATTTCGCATAGTTTCGAAAGAACGAATATATTTCATATCCATTGTGGGAGTGAAGCCCACCAATCACAGTTCATATTTTGATCACCCAACTATTATTATTTTTTAAATTTTAAATAAGTGACAATTCTGCCAAACTAATTGTAAGTATATTTTTAAGTTATTGAGATTAAATATACCTAGATTAAAATTAGTTATTCTTGTGTAGAATCGATAAATAATAGCATTTCTATTTTTATTTGATCTAGAGTTAAAAATAATACGTTAATTTTTATAAAACTATATGAAGCCAATTACGAGTATTAAAGCAAAAAAAATTTAAGCTCCTCGATGATATCAAAGTACTTGCCTTTTATACGAAAGACCCGGGTTCAAATTATATTAAATATGTTTTCTTCTTTTTTTCTTGTATATTTTATAAATTAGTAATATCAATTTTCTTAAAATCGGCCTATGCATTTCTAATATAACAATTTTAGGAATTTCAATTATTTCTAACGTCAAAATTCTTAATATTCCATAAATTGCAAACATTCTCTAACAACCTGTCAAACAACAGCTGTTGATAGTAAAGGTAAAATTTCTGAGGCGGGTTGCGACCTTCATACTTGCAAACATAGCCATTTTGGAGGCTATTTTTATTCGAAATTAGTCGCCAAGCCTGCCAATTTATGAAAAATAAGCAGTTTCTTAAAAATGACTTTTTAAGGTAGTGCTAACTTAAGCGTACTACTATTTCGCCCCTAGCCACAAAAACACCTTCATCAAATTTACTGGCTCTCTGTCGCAACCCCATAGAATAATTAACCGGCCATTTTATTTGGCAAAAATCAGAATAATGCTTGGCTGTGGCTGTCAAGTATCAAGATGTCAACTGTGATGTGTGAATGGCTCTTATATGTCAAATTATTTGAATATGATGTGAATCTTGTAAATTTAAATAAAAATTGATTATATTTATTAACGTTTTTTACCAACTCAATAAATCATTCATTCATAGTAATTAGTATATCAAAAATATTGGACAGGTTTTACTTAGTAGATCTAAACAACTTTCTTATCTTCTCATACTATGAAGTAAAAGTTAACAATTTTGATACCGATACAGCTATTAATATTGAATTAGATACCTATATGAAATTTCTCGTGTTAAAAAAATGATCGTTTCAGCAAAACAATAGGATATGTAAAATCATTGTTCTGAGTAAAAAATACTATTTTTTTTATTTAGTTCTGAACTCCTCTAACTTTCGATAAAACAAGCTAAATCTTCAATAATTTTCTTTTTCTTTGTTTTATTTATCTTTATACAATAATAGTAATATGCAAAAATGTAATGTAAATGTAAAAGTAAATCATATCTAAAGAGTCCTTATACGCAAATGTGAAAATGTTTTCATTATTATCATTTCCTGTTGAGTATGACATTATTTGCAAAAAATTATATAATTATGCCCCAAAAACGAAAATATATACAAGCGAGTTATTCCTACACCAATAATGACATAAAATAACATATACATATGCTATGTGACGCCACTGACGATGGATAGAAGGCTGCAATAGTGAGGAATAGAGACTCATAGATAGAAAAACGTTGTTTATAATAGTCCAGGATCCGTAAGTAAGGTCGACCTTCACCCATCTGTTTAATGGATAAAAGTTATTTTTCATTAAATGAAATATGTTTTTAAATATACCGCAAATGGGTTGCCTAAGAAAATACGGTCACGGCCATTTTTTACTTTCCTCTCTGTGTACAGATAAGACAAGTATAGAAATCATGATAAAAGTTGCTTATGATGTCATTCTCAATTATTTTGTTCCTATACATGAATTCCCTAAAATGGACCTAATTCGAGATATTTGATGAAAAGTGCAAATTTTGAATTTTGAAGATAAAAACGGATGAAGAGGAAAACGCCAAACTTAAGCTTTAATCCATCCTGCGATGAGCTAATTAAAGTTTGGGCACAGTCAAAGCATCTGGGGAATACTTTACAGGGTGTCGTTTTTTTTTACTTTAAGAAAATAAATAGTCTGGACCGAATTTTTTTAGGCAACCCATTTGCGGTATATTTAAAAACATATTTTATTTAATAAAAAAAAAGTTTCATCCATTAAACAGATGGGTGAAGGTCGACCTTACTTCGGATCTTAGACTATAATTGTAGTTACTTTGTTCTGATGTGCGGTACCTACGCAACATTTGTTGGTTAAGAGCCAAAAACTGTTTAAAACTTTTCTTCGCTGTACGAAAGGATATTCCCATTTTTCCTTATAATTGAAGTGAATCCCGACACTACGGATGTGGAAAATCAAAGTAGATGAAAATTTTCCCCCAGACCTTTTTAACAGGTACCATCTGGGAACGCGAGACCGAGGCACGCGACCACATAAGGCGACCGAAATTTACGTCTGAATCATATGTAAATATATAAAGAACATTTTAGATCGTGCGACCGAGGCAAAAGACCGCGACAGCACCTTCAACACCGGTTTCGGAGCAGTGTTTGCTTCCTTGAAGCGTAACGTAAGTGCATCGATCGTCTGTCACGGTCACTTGCAACTGGAATTGTGTGATTTGCAGTTTTCAGTCAGGTCCTTTTTACCAGGAAAGAACCGAAATAGGACTGGAGTTTTTTAAGTTACTCCCAGGAGAACATTACCCCAATTTGCGTAACTTAAGTCTTATAATGATCTCAATGCTGGGAATCATCTTTTTCAACATGAAAATCAACATAGAGGTACCTAATCTCTGTCTGATAAGTCACTTACTTACTACTTACTCAGTTGCTTTGTTTGTCAATAAAGAATAATTGATTAGATAAACAGGTCTAAAGAGCAAGAAATGTTTACATTTGTTTTAAAGCTAAAGAGGCAGAATGAGGTTTTCCTTTTGTTAAAGTGATAATGTAACATAACTCGAGATATATCTCTTTAGCACTGATACAATACATTGACGCTAGCTGAGTATAAACATGTCATTATCTCTATTGCAATAAAAATGTAACTTGGACCAGTTTAGCTTCCACCTATCCAATTAATGTTAATATTGATACACTATTAGTGAAAATTAATATACCCATTTTTTGAAAATTAAATATACAAACTAGTAATTTTATTTACAGTATAAAGATTTCTTGAACCATACCGACTAGTTAAAAAAAATCAATGGTTCATATGTGTAGAGGTGTTTTTTGACACCAGATAACCATATTGGTATCCTTAATAATTAATTCGAAATACAATATCGTTAGTGGATGCCACATCGGTTGCAACAACCATACCAAACTGTCAATTTTAGTACTTATTATAATTTTTTGTAATTGCCTTTTATATTCTACATTAAGTTACTTACCCCTAATTGTATAATGGATTTATCAAACTGCAGATCTATGGTAACACCTTTTACTAATGATCTGCTAGTCAACGTAATAATACCATACCATCTATCATCCTCTGATTTGTTTGGTTCAAAAACGAAATATTTCGGACATGGCGATACTATTTCTGCTTGTATTTTAAAAACAGTCAACAAAAATACAACGAATAGAGTAAATCTACACTGCAAATGATTATAATAAATAAATTTCAATTTAAAAAAATATATAAATATATTTCCTTACCATCTTTTATAAATAACAACATTAATGTAGTTATTTAAATTTACGATATAGACTAGAAAATAAATCCGATAAACTTGTAACCTCTCTGCATTTTAAATATCAATTTATTCACATTGTTTGCCTGTGGAGAAACCAATTTTTAAAATATAAATCGTAAATGATGATTTTAAAAGAATTTAATAATTATATCGAAAAGTCTTCTTAGAGTGGTTCGGCCAGTTTCTGGTTGATTTTATTAATGAAGGTCGTCGATCGTCACTGTATTTCCCGCGGTTACGGGTGGCGAACGATAACATCACAGATATCATTGCCTGGTTAGTTTATATTTGTTGTTGAGAAGTATGGCTTGCAGAAGTAATAAAAATATGCGATCACTATATAATTTACTATTCCAAATCAACAATTCGACGTTTCTATCTATAGCAATTTACACATAGGTAACAATTAAAAAATTATTTTTTTTTACGGATGTATCAGATTACAATAAGAACTCCTTTTATACCATGATAAGAACTCTTGTAGCTCTTGTTATGGAGGAAATGTACTGAGCACCAATTTTTATTTATAAAAATACGTTCGATACGGTCAAAAAACGAAATATTTAGGTATGATTCTTAATGATTTTACTTTTCGGTAAAATTTGATGAAATTACAGTAACTTCTGCTGATCAGTATTCTGTATGACCCAATAAACACAGTTAATCGGCACCGTAACTGGACCGAAGGAGGCTTGACGGATGCCAGACTCGGCCCGATATACGGGTGCAGCTTCGGCATATAGGTAGGGCATGTGTCCGCCAAGCCGAATGTCGGCAGCCCACTACATTATAGCCGCGTTCTATATCTATACGTATATAGTTCGGCCCGTAAGGAAGGAACGTCTAAATGCTGACCAAATGGAAAAACAATCTTGCTAGATTTTCGACGAAAAAATGTCATCTGTCAACGCATCTTTCGGTAATAAGGCGCTCATTTTTAAATATCCTATGAATCTCGTGAGTTAATCATTTTATTTATTTCAATTTGGATATTTATTAGTTGTATTTATACTTTTGAGTTAAATGTGTTATATTTTTGATCATCATATTCAGATATATAGGATGTTTCAACGAAAACGAACCCAAGAAAAACATGTTTTTTTTTTTAAAAAACACTGCAGTTTGTTTTCAGACAAAATTATTAATATCATCCAGCCCAGTTTTAATATTACATTTGGGGTACCGTCTAGTGAAACATACTACATGCACAATTTCAAAGGTTTTAATTATATATTCATCGATGTGCAAACATTTTAAACGCTATAGGTATTGTTGAAATTACATTCAACATGTTCTATCTGCAGGGCAGATTAATCTAAATCAGCATTTAGCAAACAAAAAAGAATAAAATACTAAATAGACACTCCCTGTATAAACTTCCGCACTTAACAAATAAAAAAGAATAAAATACTAAATAGACACTCCCTGTATAAACCAATTATCCAAAGCTGCTCAACAACCACCCCTTTTAACTTTCAAGTAACCTTCAAAGACACCTGCTGTTTCGAGAACAGTTAAAGCTAGTCACGCGAGATTTTTCACCTAATCATAAGACAGATCTTAAAAACAATAGTCTCGCGTGCAATCATACGATACTAGAGAGCCAATTAGAAGAAAGCCGGTAAAGCCGGTGCGGGTTGACAAGCTACGGCAGAACAAACTAAAATCACTTTCGCTTTGTCAGTCGAACAAGCAACAAGTCGCAGAAACTTTAACATAAAAAGCCGGCATTCGCGGTAATCAATTCCAAGCATTGTGCGATTTGATTTATAAGAGCTAATATGTAACGTATCAATAATTTTATGTAACAAAATTGTAAATGTGAAAGTATCAAGCAGTGAATAAATCAACATCAAGTGTAGGGTGATGGTTTCATTTAAACACCCAGTGCTTCAACTAGAACTTCAAGAATATCTTCCAGAGGCTACAGGGTGGAGCATAAGGCCTTCACCCCAGGTAATCTATTTCGAATACAGTCCACCATGATCGAAGGCAGTATATGTCAAGCCCAATAAAGCTAGGGTAGAACAGGTATTGACTCTCCATAATCTCCATACAATTAGATTAATTTAAGGACTCCCTCGAACGACATTTATTCACTATCTTATGAGAAGGAAAATGCAATCAAATTAAGATTAAATAATATTTTTTAAAAAAATAGTACCCTTTTTTAGAACATCATAAGTCAAAATGGGATACAGTCTGGGGGCGATTTCCAGAAAATTAAGATGGCGCATGTGCTTTACAGGTGAGAGGAAAACCCTGAAAAACTCCCACCACCATTAGTATAAAAATTATATAAAGCAGAATTATAATTTCAAAAAAGTATTATAATAAAAATTACTTTATAGAAATACTTCTGTGTAGACAATATTTGCTTTTCTATTTACTGTTAAATTCCATTAGTGTTGCAGAACCAACATTGATTAAATTTTTAATTAAGGACTCGTGTTCTTCTGGAGTGTAATATGTAAGGTATAACTAATCCATCAACTTCTGCTTTGTTAGTTTCATCAATTCCTGTTAATCATTTTTATTAAGTAAGCCCACAGAATGTGTGTTTACAAATATTGCTTTTAATAGAAAAATTAATTCAAGAACATGGAACACATATACTACATAAGTTACAAATTAACACACAACAAACACCTTTAAATTTAGTGTTAATATGAACTATAGTAGTTTGTGCAACAAGAGTGGATATGTGATGGCCATATCGCATGAAGACGAAATTTGGGCACGACGCCGTAGGCGGAGTGCTCAAGAGTCTGAGTGCGATATGGACAATCTACTCGAGTTGTACAGTATATTTTTTCTACGACCCACTAACGGAAATCTACAAATTAAAAAAAATATTTTAGGTTATTAAGACAAAATAACTAATTTTAAAATAATTTATGAATTTTACTGATTTTTAAAATAAATATAAAAAAAATTGTTGACAGCCGAGAATCGATCCCAGTCTTTTCACGCGAAAGTCAAGCACTCTGTCCATGCCTCTACAGCCACTTTTACGACTTTGGTTTTATTACTCGCAATTAAAATAATTTCATATAGTTCGATTAAAATTTAATTTTTTTTTTTTTTTTCAAAATATGGAGATGAAATATATTCGTTCAGTTGAACGCAATGCCATACTTTTTCGTTCTGTAGTCTGTGCGTAGATACCCTAATATCCACGTGGGTGTAGAAAAAATTATTTTTCCTGTCGGAAACTTTCATACTTTTATTATTGTGTATTATTTTAACTTCACATGAATCGAATACATGCCTAGTAATTATTTGCATTATATAAGGTCATTATTTTTCCCCTTTGTTAATTTTTTAATTTGATCTATAACTTTATCGTAAATATTTTAATACAGCATTATCCAAACGTTATTTTCTTTCCTTTTAAATAAATATATTTCACTACTTTGTGCTTGCTTTCTAAATGCATGTTAGTATTAATTTCTGAACGGTAACAATATGCCCACATAAATCTATTTTCAAAATAGTTTCTTTCCAAGTAGTCATACTGTAATACATATTTTTAGTATATCCATCACTAATTAATATTAAATCTGCATATATTTTTCAAATATTTTGTCATTTAAACAAGTTTGAAGGTGTTTTAATGTTTCATAGACCCATTGCTTTTTATCTGAACTTTTTACTTTTGTCAAATTCTGCTGCCATGCTCCATCAATATGCCATAAGTAATATAATTATTCACTAAACCCATAGTTTTAATCCTTGCATTGTAATACCTTTTTTTAACACAAGAGAAAACAACGTATAATTATAGATCTTTTCTATTAGAAAATAAAAACGCCTTTGGAAACCTTTCCCCATATTCATCTAATACTAAAATAAGCGTTCAAACTGGTTAAACATTTCCATCTCTGTTACATTCAGAAATAAATACCAAGCAAAATTCATTATTTACATTTACGATCACTTTACGACTTCTAAATTAAATTCAAAACATAAATGATTCTCTAACTATACTTTTAAAAGTAACCGAATGTCATTTAGGTTATGTACTCATAAAAAAAGCAGAAGTGAAAAGGCGAGAAAAAGAATAATACAACTGGCAACACCGTTTTTCCATTTGGTCAGCATTTAGACTCTCCTCCGTAAGAATGCCTCCTATGCCCGGCTAGCCAAATATTCATCGCGTTCGGCCCGTAAGGATGCCTTCCATGTCTGGAAAGCCAAATATGGACCTGATGCGGTTTCTAAATTACGTCAATTACGACTTAGAAGCAACCCCGACAACGGCAATCCGAGTACTCGGCTTCCCGTACATGCCGGTGTCAGGCCGAGCGAATGTCGACTATTTGTGGTTTACTGGCGACTTAGTTTTTGTTTTACGGTACTTCGAAGTTATTAGGAAGATATCATCTATTTTCATTTTCCTTATAGTAAGTCTTATATGTTTGCTTTTTCACGTCTAAATAGGCACCAAATAAACATACTTATAGTTTTTTACAACAGGTATCTGAAAGAGAACATCAAAAGGAAACAATTATCACAAAAACCTATAGATATTTAAAGATGTACGTTCGTAGCATTCAAAACATATTCTAGTGCTAGTATAAATGAGTATTTCACATTTTCCTGATATTTAGCGTAGCCTAAATAAAAAATAACACCCGCAACATAGGTACATGATTCCACAGTTATAGCATCAGATTTGCAAGTGCAGTAATGACCCAAACGCATGTTCATGATTCAAATCAATCCACAGTTAATGCCTAACGTTACTTAGATCCCTGAAACAAATTCTCAACCGCAGAAAACAGTTCGTGTTTAAATCAATCTCTAATACCTAATCATGCTCTTCTGCATTAATATTAGCTCTTAAAAATGAATATTGGATTTAGGAAGGTGACAAATAGATCTGATACGTTCCATAACTGTTCTCCTGTTTAAACGCTGAAATATTTGAGCATGGTGGTCTAGTAGAGCAGTCCATCTTCCTCTCCTTGTAGTTAATCTTTAATTTTTAACTCTAGCTTAATACAATATTTACTTTAGACTTTTGAAGCATTAGTTGTGCAGTTTGAACATTTAAATTTCCTCTGATTATTGTGGGACGATACCTATTGATTATTGCATATGCAGGCCCGACTAGAGGAGGGGTAGCCGGGACTAATTCCCGGGGCCCGAGCTCAAATGGGGGCCCGGCAGCGCTGTAAGGGGGGCCCGACAATAGGGTTTTCTGTTTACGCAGTGTGATGTGATTAT